ACCCCTACAGAAATTAAAATCCATGATCTGTGTACGTATGTTAAACACGGCTTTTACCTTTGAACACTCCTCGTTAACCTAGTTAAAGACAAAATGAACATTAACTTCAAATTCTTGCAAAAACTTTTGCGTGTTGTTAACAAATTTCAATTTACTGATGTGTATGTGTGTGTGTGTACTTATTCCGTTTATTGATGAAATAGGTAATTTAAAGTGAACGAAGAAAGGGAATTGGGAAATAACTTTTAAGTAGGAAAGTAATTTGGTAATGATATCAGAATACTCCTGTTTTAGGTGTAGGTAGGTAGGACTGTTTACTTACATCGCAAGATATCGTAAGTAGGTAGGTAGATAAAATTAAAATGATATTTTTTGTCGATTAGGTACAAGGTAGGTACAAGTATGTATTGCTTTCGCCCGTGCGTCACTGAAGGGGTAACAACTGAAAATCAGTGTTAGGTACTCGTAGTCATTGTGCGCAGCTTTTGCTGAGTTGGTGACCCATTCAGATTAGGCATGTCTGCCAACATAGTCTGTGTAATATCTGTTATTATTAGCCTGTTTTAGCATTATAATTTAGCTTGTTACCTTTTTTACTTCTCCTCTTTCTAGGTTTATAGGTCGAATAAAGTAACATTGGCACTTACTAAGTATTCAAAACTTTTATAACCTTCAGATCACGTTCGGCCTGGGTTGCTGGATAAGAGCAATGAACCGCGGCTTCGGCCCAGAGCAGGTGAAGGAACGGGGGCGTTTTTAGTCAGTAAGTGTCTAACAATGCCACCCTCCCGACCCTGGTTGCGGGGTAAGCGCAATGAGGCACCGCGACCTCGGCCCAGAGCAGGAGAAGGAACGGGGGTTTTTAGTCAGTAAGAGTCTGACACTCCCTCCCGCCCGCCCCAAGTCATTTGATGATTTTCCCCTCACAAAAAAACATAACTCGCCAATACCTGGACCAATTGTCTTTTTTAATGTGTTTGTTTTTATGATTAAAAGGTCCTTATGAAAGAAAATTTTAAAAAGTCGGGATAAGTAACTATTTTAACTTCAGGAAGGTATTTGGAACCTGTGCGAAGTCGGGGCGGGTCGCTAGTTAAATATAAAAAATCGTAATCCACCCAGAACTGACATTATAATCATAGCATTACGCTGTTTACAGCATTTGTTTTAAGCTGTAATTTAACTATGCACTCTGAACCTCATTATATTAAAGTTCAAAGTTCTCTCATTAAAGAAAATGTAAGAACAATGAACATAGGTAAGTACTTATACTATTTATTTTCTTTTGTTTCTGACCTGAACAAAGGCTTGTACCTACCCCTGCTTACGTATTTATTTAGGGGTGGCAACGGATAATAGCATTTTATCTTGGGGAAATTCTTAGAATCGAAGTGTTATTATTGTATTATATTATATCGAGGGAGAGGCGGGAATAGACCCAAGTGACGACACCAGGGCCTCACATAAAACCGGCATGAAGCAACATTGCACTGACGTTGTGTTTCGCCGTGTAAGTGAGGTTACCGGAGGCCCATATCTTCGTCCCTCTCCCGATCCTCAATCCTCAAATCTCGAATAACCCACAAGACGTCGGCAACGCATTTTTAGTGACTCCTTTGGTATTACGAGTGTACATTGACGCGCTGATTGCTTACCATTAGGTAATGCGTCAGCTCGTTTGCCGACTTATGATAATTATAAAAAAAGTACAACTAAATATTTCTTATTAAGTTGGTACCTACATAAATAATGAATGAAGTATGACGTGAAGGTCCGAAGGTTAAGACGCCCGCTTATCTTGCATGCAACTTTTTCAAGTTATAATAATGTCCTTTCTCAGAATATATAGACGTCACTGACATATGCGAAAGAAAACATCGAGAGGAATGTAGGCTCAATTTCTAACTGGAAGGTAAAAATCGCTAATCCTTGATCAAGCGTGATTATCAAGCATCAATCCTTTTATATTCTAAATAGGTAGGTAGATAAAATTAAAATGATATTTTTTGTCGATTAGGTACAAGGTGGGTACAAGTATGTATTGCTTTCGCCCGTGCGTCACTGAAGGGGTTTTTTTTTTTTTTTTTTTTTTGTGAGGGGAAAATCATCAAATGACTTCTCCCGCCCAGGGCCGGGCAGGAGGGAGTGTCAGACTCTTACTGACTAAAAACCCCCCTGTTCCTTCTCCTGCTCTGTGCCGAGGTCGCGGTACCTTATTGCGCTTACCCCGCAACCCCGGCGTCACTGAAGGGGTAACAACTGAAAATCAGTGTTAGGTACTCGTAGTCATTGTGCGCAGCTTTTGCTGAGTTGGCAACCCATTTGGATTAGGCATGGCTGGCAACATAGTCTGTGTAATATCTGTTATTATTAGCCTGTTTTAGTATTATAATTTAGCTTGTTACCTTTTTTACTTCTTCTTTTTCTAGGTTTATAGGTCGAATAAAGTAACATTGGCACTTACTAAGTATTCAAAACTTTTATAACCTTCAGATCACGTTCGGCCTGGGTTGCTGGATAAGAGCAATGAACCGCGGCTTCGGCCCAGAGCAGGTGAAGGAACGGGGGCGTTTTTAGTCAGTAAGTGTCTAACAATGCCACCCTCCCGACCCTGGTTGCGGGGTAAGCGCAATGAGGCACCGCGACCTCGGCCCAGAGCAGGAGAAGGAACGGGGGTTTTTAGTCAGTAAGAGTCTGACACTCCCTCCCGCCCGCCCCAAGTCATTTGATGATTTTCCCCTCACAAAAAAAACATAACTCGCCAATACCTGGACCAATTGTCTTTTTTAATGTGTTTGTTTTTATGATTAAAAGGTCCTTATGAAAGAAAATTTTAAAAAGTCGGGATAAGTAACTATTTTAACTTCAGGAAGGTATTTGGAACCTGTGCGAAGTCGGGGCGGGTCGCTAGTTAAATATAAAAAATCGTAATCCACCCAGAACTGACATTATAATCATAGCATTACGCTGTTTACAGCATTTGTTTTAAGCTGTAATTTAACTATGCACTCTGAACCTCATTATATTAGAGTTCAAAGTTCTCTCATTAAAGAAATGTAAGAACAATGAACATAGGTAAGTACTTATACTATTTATTTTTCTTTTGTTTCTGACCTGAACAAAGGCTTGTACCTACCCCTGCTTACGTATTTATTTAGGGGTGGCAACGGATAATAGCATTTTATCTTGGGGGAAATTCTTAGAATCGAAGTGTTATTATTGTATTATATTATATCGAGGGAGAGGCGGGAATAGACCCAAGTGACGACACCACGGCCTCACATAAAACATTGCACTGACGTTGTGTTTCGCCGTGTAAGTGAGGTTACCGGAGGCCCATATCTTCGTCCCTCTCCCGATCCTCAATCCTCAAATCTCCTATTCTTAAATCCGATATAAACCCACAAGAGGCCAGCAACGTTTTTGTAGTGACTCCTTTGGTATTACGAGTGCCCATGGGCGGCGCTGATTGCTTATCATTAGGTAATGCGTCTGCTCGCTTGCCGACTTATAATAGGAAAAAAAGTACACTAAAAATATTTTAATAAGTAGGTATATTAATAATGAATTCAGTATGACGTGGAGCTCCGAAGGTTAAGACGCCCGCTTATCTTGCATGCAACTTTTTCAAGTTATAATAATGTCCTTTCTAGGAATATTTAAAAGTCACTACAAGTCACATATGCGACAGAAAATATCGAGAGGAAATTAGACTCAATTTCTAGCTGTAACTTAACAATAGCTAATCCTTGATCAAGCGTGATTATCAAGCATCAATCCTTTCCGCGTGTGAAGAGGCCTTTGTTCATCAGTTGACATTTATTTGCTGATTATTATGAAGACTTACATTTGTTTTTTTTTATTTTATTTTATTACGTCTACCAGTAGTTGTTACAATGTAGTACACTGTTTTAAACTTTTGTACAATTGCTAAAAGCAAAAACAGTATCCATTATTCTCAGAGCTTTATAGACAAGACAGATAAAATTTTGGAACAACGATATGATACAAAAATTAAATATCAGTTTTATATTATACGATAATTTCTCGAGCTTTCTGCGAAACTGGGCAAACAAATCAGAATTAATGTCCATCAACTCGCTGCATCCGTTCAGTAAACGTGTGTTCAACCTATATTTCTTGAGATAAAATTATTTTTCCAGCAATTACAACAACAAAAACAATAAATTAACAAAGATAAATTAATATAAAGTCAGTTTGTAGGAGAGATAGTGTAGGAGTGCCATGCCATCGCTCAAATGGACTAACTAAACTGGATTGATTAACTATGGCTTCACGGAAAACAGGCGAGAAACAGTCCAAGCGTTGTCTTTCACTGTGTTAATGGGGTTAGCGTTTACCCTCCCTAATCCACAATCGCCAAAAATTATAACCCCAAAGGTCGGCAACGCACTCGTTTCTTTGCTTACCATCAGGTAATCCGACAGTTCGTTAGCCGACCTATTAACACAAAATATATGAGTGAGGTACAATCCTGAATCCGCCAATAGGCTACGATCAGGTGATCTGACTACTTTTAAAGAAGAAAATGAGCGATGGATCTATATTAAGATCCATTAATATATATAGATTTCTATATTTACAGCAGTCGGCCAAAGTATTATTGTCTCATTTATCCAAAATATACTATTCTCCCTAAAAATTTAAATTTACTGGAATGCCAATATCTTCCTAAATAACGTTTATTTTTCATAGCCGGCAACCCTATCAGTTCCCAAGAAAAGGTGACAAGTCCGTGACTAAATATTTCCTGTAAGCACCATAAATAATCAAATGAGTTTCTTAATTTTCCACGGTTTCCTCTGGAAAGAGAGAAATCCTATACCTTAATCCTACTAATAATATTATAAACGTGAAAAGTTTGTAAATATAAATGTTTTGGTGTATCAAAGCATTTTCAAAATGAAAGTCAAAAAACATTTACACCAACTATACCAAACATACAGGTACTTCTGTATTCAAGAACTTGTGATGAGAATATGAAGTCAGCGGTCACGCTAGTGGAGTGCGTACGCCTCGTGGAACAAGAAACCCTCGTCGTAGTTCAGATGCTTGTCAAAATTAGCGAAACAGTATTCGGCGAAAAAGTCGCAACGGTGACTGCAGGTCCGGTTGGTGCGGTGGCTGGGCAACTGGCTGCGGCGCAATGTGTCGCGGATTTGATTCCAACAACTCTTTGTGGGATCCACAAATTGTTGTTCCGGGTCTAGACATGATTTGTATGTGAAATTGTATGTTTGTAAGCATACCCACGACACATGAGAAAATCCTAGTGTGGGGCATAAAAAAACTTGAGAATGTCTCCAAGGTGGAGTACTGATAATTCCGTTCCTTATTCTCCCACGCATCTTGAGCTACGGCCATAAACACGTATAGCTCAAGTAGCAAATTTAGCATATGCGAAAAAATATAAAAATCCATTGTTACAAACAAATATCTGATAAAAACATGTATAATAATAAGTATTTTTCCTCCACCCATACCTACCTCCAGACCACCAACATGACAATAATATTCTTTTATTTCATTTAGAAATCGCGTTCAAAACATGTTGGAAGTCCCACGCATCATAAAGGGATGGCTTTATTCGAATATAATGTATTACACCTCAATAACAGCCTCCAAGTTATTATTGAGAATTTTGGAATAACTAAAATTTTCCATGTCACTTTGAGCTACGCACTTGAGACTTTGGTAGTAGCTCAAATCAAGCCATGCTTCGGCAGGAATAGGTCGGCTCGACCGGAGTGATACCACGGCCTCACAGAAAACCGGCGTGAAACAACCACAGCGTTGTGTTTCGTCGTGTGAGTGAGGTTACCGGAGGCCCAAATCCCTCCAGTTTGAAAATATCTTCTAACCCTCATTACCAAAAGGTCGGCACCACACTCCTAACTTCTCTGTGGTTGCAGGTGTCCATAGGCAGCGTTGATTGCTTACCATCAGGTAATCCGTATGCTCGTCTGCAGTCCAAGATCATAAAAAAATTGACTGCAATTTTGGCGCAGTGGCTAGAAATTGGGTGATGTGAAACGTATCGCGGTTTTGGTTTCGTAAAGGGCAGTTCCTTGGGTGATCTCTAAAATACTTTTCCGGATCTGGAATAGATAAAAATTTGTCTATGTTACATTATATTTTTGTTAACACGTCCAATTGCGAAAGTTTTTTTTTTTTAAATAAATAAATTGTTATATGATATTGTTAAGATACTAAAGAAAAATCTTCTTAGTTCTGTTTTCACTGAGGATCTAGACTTTGTTACCTTTAGTTCAGGAGCACAATAGAGAAGAATCTCTTTGTACATAAAATATTATTGTCAACATGTGGTTGAGACTAAATGCTAAGGGGATTTGCACATGGAACAACTAAAATATTGGGGGAAGGATTGGACCTCTGTAATGAAATACAATTTGCTCCTCTCCCAATCCCTAAATCTCCACAACCCCATTACCAAGTTTGGCAATGCACTGCTAACTTCTCTGTTGTTGCGTGTTGTGTCCATGCATCTGTCCATGGGTGGCGTTGATTGCTTGCCATCAGGTGATCCGTCTGCTCGTTTCATCTTTCTTTCTTCTTCTTTTCTATCTTTCATTTCATCATTATTGGCCTTAAGTGACCACTGTTGACCAAAAGCCTTTTCTCACACGGAGAAGGTTTGATAATTAGAAATTTTAAGTAAAGGTTTCCTCACGATGTTTACCTTCACCGTATGTCAGTGGTGTCTAAATAATCATAGAAGGTACACATAACTCGGAAAAAGTCACATATTTAAGTACTTGCAAGGTTTCAAACCCACACTCTCATGCTTGAAAAGCGTGGTGCCTTAACCTCAGGGCCACCAAAACAGTGTACTGTACTACCAAATGAATAAAAAAAATTAACAAAAACCTAATTGCCGGTTGATGCGATAGTTGATCCATGTGCAGAGCGCCTAAGGTTTAATATTTTATAAAAGAGTTTCCTCAATAAAACCTACTTTTGTTATCACAAGTGACTTAGTTCATAGTCCTTTATCGTATTAAATAAACACTAACTTAGCGCCAAGTCTTTTGATATTAAATTTAGGTTTGTTTAGCCAATGACAAATATATGCCATTATACAATACAACGTCCCAGAGGCACACAGCGACTTTGTTTTATACTATGTAGAGATTTTTTTATTTATTATTATTACTTTGAGCAAGTTTCCTAGTTTCGTCTCTACAAAGACCACCCGGAAGAGACAGTCGAATATACGCTTGGATTTGTGAGCACTGAGCTGATACCACCACCGCCAGCAGCACCGAACGCCCGCGCCCGCATTAGGAAACCTGGTTTTATAATTTCTAATTATAAGTTTAAATCGCAAACACACATTGAGCAAGGATGGTGATTGATGCTCTAACCTTCTCCGTATGAGAAGAGGCCTTTGCTCAGCCGTAGGCACATATAGGCTGATGATGGTGATGATCTTTGGAAAACCGTACAATAAAATATTTATAACAAAGGTTAAATCAAAACCAAAAATTGGCAACATTTGAATTGAATTAAAAAGTCTTTTCAATTTAAAAGTAGGTACCTACCTATGGAGTCGGTTTCTACAACACAAAATGAAGGCGCCTTGCAAGACTTAATGTTTAGTACTTAAATAACAGCTTAAACGCTAAAAGTAAAGACTTGTTGAGACTCTAGTGTCGTATCTCCGACGTCAAGTCTCTTGACTCCAAAATTTAATTTTAGGTACTTACTTACTCAAGAAATGTTTGTTCGAAATAAGTACTTAAACTGTGAGTGTGATATAATTTGAGTACCTACATTCTATAGTCAAATGTAAAATAAAAACTTATTTAAGATGGCAGCTATGGTAAATCCGAGGAACAGGCGAGACCCACATAATCTGATTTTGAATGACTTTCCGAGACTTACTAAGTATAATAAAAGCTGTTTGGCGATGTGAGTGCAGATTTTCAATAAGTTATTATGCCAATTAATAAACTGTAATAAAAATGTATCTATTTATGTCTAAATTTTATTACCTAAGTTGTTAACTAAATGTAACTTGTTTAGTGTAAAAGAATTCATGGAGCATAGTAGTAGGTAATTTTAATATGTTATATTAATTTATTTAATTTTAAATTGTGCTGTGTTAGCGAAACACGATTGTCCTTTTCATTATTATGTATATGACTTCTATAGGTACCTACCTAACTACCACGGTATTAATTTATTCTATGCAAATAAATTACGTATACTTACTTACCTACTTACTTACTTATCGTTCCGACTTCATAATTCCAAAACAAATGCTTTGATTAATTGATTTTATAATAGGTTCTTACGATTTTTTTTTACTAGACAGTCCAGGTATTAAAGCGGAAAATTATAATTTGAATACCTTGGTAGGCTTGACGTTTCGACCCGGTTGCACAGGTCGTGGTCACAAGCAGCCGCGCAAATATAATGTTGTTAAGATGAAACGCGAAAGTTTAAAAGTTAATTTAGTTGCAAATGTTTATTTCCGAATTTCTATTTTTCCTCAACGTAAGCGCGTCACTCGTACCGCCATCTTAAGAAAAATGGCGGCAAATATCTGTAGTAGGTATTTTTTTTATACCTACTATTCTGCTTTTCTGAGCATCTTAGCAGATCACACTAGTACGACAAAGGTTTCATTACTTAGTGTTAAAAACACAATAATTCGGTCTAAGATATTTTGATGGGGTGACAAACGTATAAGCAATCGCGACCCATGGAAATGCCTTACACCAGAGACAAGTCATGAGTGAAATGTTAGAGAGTTTGGTATTTTTTGTTCTTCTCACACTCGCTTCGAATTGGAGTGTATTTGTTATGACCAATATTAATTATTGTTACCTACTTATAAAGAGATTGTAGGGACATTGGAATAGACAAAAACTTTAAGTATTTATTTGCGTCTACACAAAACTAAGTTAGCATAATATCAAGAGAAGGTTATCTGAATATTTTTTCAGACTTCAGACTTTAAATAGAAATTCCTAAAAAAACTTCGTAGGCTTGTAATTAAGTATTATTGATCCCAGTTACTGTTTAGGTACCTAACTATTTTTTAAACATGAATAGTGGTTTATCCGAAGGTTAACATCAATGTAGCTACCTAATTTCGCTAAGACACGTAGAGTAAATAAATAAATACATAAATAAGCGAATACGTTTTGAACATTGTAAGAATTGGATTTGACTAGTTGGAAACTCGCCCATTCCAGTGTCTAAAACGGAAATAAATTATGTTATCATAAATTAGGTTCAAGGTCAAACAGATAATGCCAACCTACAAAAGAGAAGACATTTTTGTATGACTTGTTTATGAAAAGGCAAATATTATTGTAATTTTTATATATATAAATAGACCTTATAGCTAAAATAAAATGTAAAATTTCTATGAATTGTTACAAAAATAAGTAATCAGCATTTTAAATCTTCACAATTTGTCATTTCTAATTCGAATGATAACGATATTTATAAAATAAGAAGGAACATTTTAAAAACTGCGCTGGCAATACTAAAGTATTTTGACAGTTGACAAACAGAATGTATGTGTAACTTTGACTTGTGATTAACTGATTACTTGTAATTGTGCGATTGAAAGAGAAAACTACTTTTACTTTCATTCAGTAAATATCGTATTAATATTTAGGCAGTGAGATATATTTATTTGTGGTAGTAGAAACTAGCAGGAACATAAGTGTCGGTTCATACTTTGCCTACTGATCCAATACAACGATCCAACAATGAGTAACAGGCAAGTGTTTTGATACAATATTTCCTTGTTATAATTTTATTTATACAAATATTATAGTAACCGTGTTCTATGCACAGAACATTATATACTCTAAGGAGGTTCTTATTCATTATTTTTTAAAACGTTAAAAGAGTTGTTCCTCTCATATTCCAAATTTGAAATTTTTAGAATTAGTTTTTTTTCTATGCTATGATAATTCAGTCAGTGGGTATTAGGGGCGGATTATAAACTATTATTACTTTAAATATTAGGTATTACACTATTAATAATTGTCTATGATAGTAAGTCAGCCGGCCAGTGCCCTTGATCATTCCAAAGTGTAGATTTCACTTAAGAATCGGAATCAAATTATGTGTTTACTACAATTGCAAATTTATGTAATAAATCCCAATTAAATATGTTTACTTATATCCTACTGTATTTATGTACCTAACTTTGAATTAATTTAGCTCCACCTGCACTTCCCATAACTTCCTTAATTGCTCCACACTGCCTACCATATATATCTCATCACAGCCATAAGGATGACTGGCAGAAAATGCTTTTAGCATCAAGTTATCTGATATGTAACTATATAAATTATAAATAAATAAAACTCTCTTCCCTTTGTCAATTATTTCATCTTAGATTGTAATATTGTGTTTGTATTAACATATATTAATTTTTGCAGTAAAATACTAGATTTTATGTACTACAATTACTATGTAGTAAAATATATATTGAAAGGAAAACATGGAAGAAAAATCAAAAGCCGATGTGTGCCGAGTAGGTGGATAAAAAAAATTGACACGGATGGATTGTATGTGACTTATCACTGTCCAACGAAAAATTTTCCTAAGGAGAAGTTGCTAGATCTAGCTAAAAACGTAGTGGCTCCAAAAAGGTTTTGGCCATTTAAACGTGGTAAAATAATATTTAAATGTCGTAAGTACTTTTTTTAAACTTAGCTATTAGTCTAGTTTATTATGCCTGTGTTGTGATCTATTCATTCAAGGTTTTAAACCTGACAAGTACAAATGTGACTTTTTTTCAAGTTATATTATGTTACATCCACATCTTAATATGAAACACTGTGATGCAACCGGGCTTTAAAATATTATTTAAATTATTTATTTAAAATATTATATATAACCTTGCAATCAGTATTCTGTCTCGAGCAAGTATGATAATTAATGCTCATTCCTTCTCCATGTGAGAAGAGGCCTTTCCGCAGCAGTGGACACTTATAGGCTGATGATGATGTGGTGGAGAAGCAGGGTATGGGTTTGAAATTGACAAGTACCAATGTGTCATTTTCCAAGCTATATGTACTTTGTATTACTATTTAGACACCACTGACATACAGTGAAGGAAAATATCGTGAGAAAATCTGGACAATGTTTTTTCTTTTTATAAATTTCAATTTGCCAGTCTGCCTTGAGCAAGCGTGGTGATTAATGCTCTTACCTTCTTGTGAGAAGAGGCCTTAGCTCAGCAGTGGGCACTTATAGGCTGATGATGAAGATGATGATGTGAAAAAATAATTAAGCAATTCATATGTATAATTTATATTGCTGTAAAGTTTCATCCGAGTTTATCTAGTAGTTTTATTTAAATAGGGAAGAAACTACACTTATATAGGTACCATCATTCATCCTTTGCTGTTATATTGTTGAAACTTGTACCCAGGATAGGTTTACACTTATAACTCAAAACTTTGGTGTATTTTTTATTCATAAGAATATTAAAATTATTTTTTCATTACAGAGGATTTTGATGAAGCGTTTAAATTTATGAAATCGTTTCCCGACACCAAGAAAGATGTAACAAGTAAATATATATTTTTATTATTTATGGAGAGCAAAACGGTTTTCTTACACAAGAGTTTTTTTATTATCGTAACTTGCATTGTAATTTGGTCTTAATCGCCTTATAACGCTAAGTGTGCTAGTGTTAAAAATGAAAACCTCGATAAAAAGCTGATGTGTGAACGCAGAGAGCCAAGTTTCTTCACCAAGAGGCCAACTCAGAGTGATACGGACTTCACAGAATACCGTCGTGAACCAACGCTTGCCTTATGTTGGCCATGTGAGCGAGCGGTTACCGGAAGCCTCATCCTAATACCCCGATCCAAATCTCCGGATTCCTAACACAAAGGTCGGCAACACTTAACTCCTTTTGTGTTGCAGTGTCCATGGGCGGCGCCGATTACCTATCAGGGGATCCATCCGAGCGCTTACAGTCCTATTCCATAAAACAATTCAGTTGTTCTATTTGAACGCTTTTATAAAGTTTATAAAAACTTTTGTCCTATGTTAATTTGATTAGCTCTAGTTAAAATATCTATTATATAGCATTAAGTATATAGTATTATATTTTGTCTGTATAAACTCATTATTTTAAGAATGTTGGTTAGATCGTAACTGGCTAATGTGTAAGACCCACTATCTATAACGAATACTTCTAACTACTTTGTGTACATAAGCAGTGAGCCTAAAGTGTAAAGTAAATAAATAAAGTGTGTTAAAGAAATTCTCTTGCGAAAGCAGTTTAGTAGTGGTCTCTTAATTAAAAATAAAACCTTTGATATTTTTATCCAATCCAAATACAACGGACTCATATGCGGTTGTCTTTAATATGTAGATGAGTTGTTGAAGAGAAAGGTTTATGGTTTATATGTATTAGCATCGCACCCGTTGGCAGCCCGTGCGTAAAATATATCTATCATCAAAGATATTAATATTCAAATTGTATTTCAGAGACAACCGAAAAGCCACCAACTTTGATTAATGAAGAACAAATTGAAACTAACGATAATAAAACAGAACCAAGTATCGTTGAAAACAAAGACAAATTTTCCAAACCAAGTATCGTAGAAAACAAAGAAAAATCCTCCAAACCAAGTTTCGTTGAAAACAAAGACAAATTTTCCAAACCAAGTATCGTTGAAAACAAAGATAGATCCTCCAAACCAAGTATCGTTGAAAACAAAGAAAAATCCTCCAAACCAAGTATCGTTGAAAAAAAAGATAAATCGTCCAAACCAAGTATCGTTGAAAACAAAGATTCATCCAAACCAAGTTTCGTTGAAAATAAAGATAAATTGTCCAAACCAAAAATCGTTGAAAACAAAGATAAATCTTCCAAACCAAGTTTCGTTGAAAACAAAGATAAATCGTCCAAATCAAGTATCGTTGAAAACAAAGATTCATCCAAACCAAGTATCGTTGAAAGCAAAGATAAATCGTCCAAACCAAGTATCGTTGAAACCAAAGATATAAAGGACAGTCAAAGATCAACACAAAAACGCGAACGCCCTCAAGAAAAGGATGAACTTGAACAATCATCAAACGTAAACAACCAGGCGAAAAAAATACGCTTGGAAAATAATCAAAAAGCAACAAATGAAAAACAAAATACATTAAAATCTTCTGATAAGGGAAATTCTTCAGAAAGGCCCTCTATAAGTGACACTATTCTTGACAAAACTAGAGAAGTTCAAAATAAAGATAATTCCCACAAATCCATTCCACAAAAAGATAAAGTTCCGTCGGAAAATAATGCTGATGAAGGTAATGGTAATGCAAAAGTTGGCTCAGGTGTAAAGCTGACAGAAGAAAGAGCTCAAGGTAAGGGAACTGTAGAAACAGCCGAGAATGGAACACAGACAGAGACAGACAATTTCAAACATGATCCAACCTTCGAACAACTTTTACAATCTTGCGGTGTCAAACCTAATGAATCATATTATCTGAAAAATGGTCAGCAAATTTTCAATTTAGACGATGTCAAATTTGTCTACAACACAATTATAGAAAGCAAAATAAAATTCAAAAATGTTTATGAAGAAATCAAAATTAATTTGAAAAATGCATTCGCTGCTGTAGGGCTGGAAGTTCCAGAATTTTGTGGCGATTTATTGGCTCCTATGTTAAATACATCTAAAGAGTAATTGACTGCACAAATAATGCGGTGGATGAGGAACCGGCTGCCGTGCAACGTGTAGCGGGTTCAATTCCTTCATCGAACAACTTTGTGTGATTTACAAATTGTTGTTTGGTGTATGTTAAATTTGGTTTAAAATTAAGTGAAATAAGTTTTAGTTCGTAATTTCATAATATACAATATAAGAGATCTTATTTTGTTACAATTTAAGTGAGAAAATATGATATTTTATTATATTTAAACTATCAATGTTTTGAGTCTAAGATTTTTAATTTTCCTTAATATGTAGATCTGTTTTTATTGTTGTTCGTTGTATGTAGATCTTTCGTTAATGTGCCATAATATACCCCATAAATGTTTTATATGATTCCTTAAAGTTCAGAAATAAAATAAAACGGTGCTATAAAGCTAGTCACATTCAATATATAGAAATAAAATATTAAAAAAATGTACTTATTGAGTTTACATGAATTTTATTACAAACTTGATGACGTCATTGCGTTTTATCATCGGATGACTCAAAAAACAAATGATTAAATAATTTTATTTTTTAATAAGTTACCAAAGTAACACTTTTGTATGTATTATTAAAATGAAACGAAATAAATGTGGCCTTAGTTATGCCTTAAAAAATATAGGATTATAAAATATGCGACTGCACAGATAGCCCGTCGGCTAGGCAACCGGCTACCGTGCAACGTGTCGCGAGTTTAGAACCGCACGGAATAACTCTGTGTGATCTACAAATTGTTGTTCCGGGTCTGGGTGTCAAGTGTATGTGAAATGTAGGCAACGTTTAAAATAATACGAATAATAATTGTAATATCTTTAAAATACTGAAAGTGTATTTATTTTTGAATTGTTTAATTGTAATTTACGAAGAACTCGAAAAGTTCCACGCCACGACGCGGTAGCGTCGCGCAATGCTGCTCATATGAGCCCCTAGTTTAGCTTGAAACTAGACGAGTTCCTCGACAAACACTACTTTGTCAGTTGTTAATGTTTTAAAACACCTTTTTTTGTATTACCGTTCAATATTTAATGTTATTAGTTGACTACATAGTTGATGAGTGAGTTCGGAACAACTCTTTGTGTGATCCACAAATTGTTTTTTTTTTATATATAATAGGTCGGCAAACGAGCCGATGGATTACCTGATGGTAAGCAATCAGCGCCGCCCATGGACACCCGCAACGGAAAGTTACGAGTGCGTTGCCGACCTTTTAGGGATTAGGGATTGGGGGAGGGGAAGGGTTGGGCCTCCGGTAACCTCACTCATACGGCGAAACACAACGCTGTGGTTGTTTCACGCCGGTTTTCTGTGAGGCTGTTGTGTTTAAACGCACCCACGACGTTGTTTTTATTGTATAGATGTTGAATCTCCATTATACAGTCTGTTTGGCAATGTACCAGATTTTAATATAGAATGTAATTTTTATAATGTGTACTTCATAACTTAAGTAGGTACTGTAAAAAGGGGTGACTAGATGTATGTTGAGCTACGGCCTGCGGCCACTGTAGGGCGCGGCCTGTGGATGACAGACTCGGGGCGTCTTGTTGTCTGCAGCAGGCCTCGAGGCGGCGGCGCCGTGTTCTGCGCGCGTCTCGTAGTGGAGTTCTGCGGTCGGGGTGACGGCCGCAGTGGGTGACGGGGCCCACCTTACCATCTGGCGGGCCAATACACGTCAGGGGGTTGCGACGAATGCTTCGGCGATACCCGCCCCTCCGACACATGGGTAAGTGGAGGAACACCGGGTTGGTTTTTAGTCAGTAAGATTCTGACAGAACCCTTCGCCCTTCCCCGAGGGCGATGGTTCTCCATGAGGATTTTCCAAACCGATACAATAAAAAATAATGTATGTAGAGCTAGGAAAATTCACCAACATCTATACACATCTTTCTTGTATCTATTCACCCCGTTCTACGCTATGTACTTAATTAATAAATGTTGCTATGAAACTATGTACTTAGTTTTAAGTATTTTTTTAAAGTCATATTATTGTAATACAAATAAATGTTACTTATTTTCCACTTTTAAAATGTTGTTTTCTTTTCCTATATTATCTAAGTAAGTAGGTACCTACTCTTTTTAAAAAAGTCAAAGTGAAAATCATTTTATTTCAATACGACCCATACAGGCACATTTAAACGTCAAACAAGGCTAAAATATAAAAGTTGTCAGTCTGTCGGTCATTCCTCTTAGTAAAACGAGCGGTTGGGTCTTTTTTTATATCATAGGTCAGCAAACGAGCAGACGGATTACCTGATGGTAAGCAATCAGCGCCGCCCATGGACACGTAAGTGTGTTGACTACAAGTACGTAGCCAGCCTCTTGTGGGTTAGTAGGGATTTAAGGATAGGTTATTTGAGGAGGGGGGAGGGGAAAGGATTGGGCATCCAGCAACCTTACTCACACAACGTAAGTGTTGTTTCATGCCGGTTTTCTGTGAGGCCGTGTTATCGAGCCGACCCATTCGTGCCGAAGCATGGCTCTGCCACAATTAAGCTTCTCTTTCTTCTCTACATAGTGATATACTAAGTATCTATGGGGGCACGAGAGATTAGAGTTTGCGCCACCAGTATTTTTTATGCTTAGCTTACCTGATGGTAAGCAAGTAATCAGCGCCGCCCATGGACACCCGCAGCACCAAAGGATTAACAAGTGCGTTGTTGGTCTTTTAGGGATAAGGGTTTCAGATATAATTTTAAGGACTAGGAAGGGGTGGGGAGAGGGTGAGGGTTGGAGTCGGTTACCTCACTCACACGGTGAAACACAACGCTGTGGTTGTTTCACGCCGGTTTTCTGTGAGGTCGTGGTATCAGTCCGGTCAAGCCGACCCATTCGTGCCGAAGCTTGGCTCTGCCACATTTATAAAACTCCTTCTCCTCCAGGCAAGGCCGTACCTTGCCACACTTCTTGACCTACGACCACGACTGGCGCATCTTAACCTCCGGACTCCAGACAATCACGACATTATCTTACATCATATTATTTAAGAATCTTGGCATCGATTCAACTAGTTTAGATGCATTGGAACCGATATGCTTCATAAAATATAGCAAAATATAATATATTCAAGAGCAAAATAGAGCCGTTTACGGCCACTTAGATTTTATCGCCGTGTATGAAATTCCTTAGTATGCTCTTTTTGTGGTTAAATGGTGATGAAAAATAGAATATTTTTTATAGTTTTTTTTTGTAAAGTATAATCGTTTAATTATTTATTCTTTATGCAACATAGTACCTACCTATTATAAAGGCGGATTTAACGCCAGAGACATTTCACTAAGATAACTTTCGGTGATATGGGGAAGGTACTATCAGTGTCATAAGTGCATGGAGGATTCCAAATCAAAATCGTTTGTACGGCGTTTCATCGCCTTGATAATATACCATGGATGATATAGATGGCGCTAGTATACTAGTGGTATTGAAAAATATACATTTATAGTTTTTATCAGATACAAAGTTATTAACTTAATAATTTTATACACAAATTAATACTACGATATTCCAAACCTTTTTAAAGCAAAGCACGCAATAACCAGGATTCGAACTCGGTAGCATAAAATTAACCGATGCCACTAGCCATTAGGCCATTACGTTACCTTGAAATGTATTGAAATTATCCTACTCTTTATTATATTGAAGTTGTTTAGCAACTATAACCCGATCATAAATCTCAAAACAGTTGAGGGTAATTTAATATTAACTGTATAAAAATTAAACCATTTTGTTCAATCATAACATTCTTTACTATCTTTGAGTGAGTTCAGTTACGATTTGTTTAACAAGTTTTTAATATTTATTTTTATCATGAGTTTGCGTTCAAATATTGATATGGCTACGAGGGCCCAAATAATACCATTGCATAATCAAAGCTTAAATTATACTGAAATTTCAAGAGAAACTAGCTTAAACGTAAGTATTCTTTTAAAATGACCGTTCGTTATTTATTTTATTATCCATGGTTATCGATACATGAAAATAATAAATAATACACGTCCCTTACAGGTAAAGACTGCCACTTTATGGATATCTAAAGCTGTTTCAAGAAGAGGGTTCATTGGAGCACCGTAGTGGATCTGGCAGAAGACGTGATATTGACTCAGACCAGCTTCAACTTATGGGGCAAGGTTATGAGGAAATATACTGGAGCATTGTCATCTTCAGTGATGCAAACAGTGAAAACTACATAGATGTGCTGAAGACGTCATGAAGATGCGGTAGTGATAACGTTCGTGCAGGACAATTGTCCTATGTGTAATGTTCCATAATTGTGCAAGTGTTTAGTCAGCAATCAGACATACGGATTATTCCTTGGCCAGCGAGATAGGAGAAATAGGATCGATAAAAATGGCGGCTACACTAGTTCTTAGAAGAAAAGATATTGTTGACTATAGGATTAAGCAATTACAAGACCGGGGTAGCTATATTTTTTTTAATGGATAAATGTTCAAACTTAGTGTTAGTAGGATAAATTATTTATTTAATATTACTATAAACAATTCGTCCCATATCTAATGAATGCTATATCCCGGTCTTAGAAATGTTATTAATTTAAGGTGTAGCTTCAATTTCTTCCTTGTTCTGGAACGAATACTTAAGCTATGAGCCTTTGTCATAACATGATGCACAAAATGAATCATTTTAGTCAATACTTTGATTAAATTTTATGTGGAGGTAAAATAGTTGCAGAAGTAAGGTTGCATATTATATAGAATCGTATTATAACATTGTGTTTTAAACTAACTAATAAATGACTAGCACAATACAATTTTGATTTAAAATACTTATTAATCTTTTATAAATTGTATCAAATAATGTGTCAGTAAGCTGAAAAGTTATTAGGTCAGGGTATACACTATATAAGAAAGAAATAAATATTATGTTTTAAGAAATAAATGTCTGAAATTATAATGTCACTAAAATAGTTTTATTTTTTATCCTTTATGAGAATTAAACTTAGTATTAGTCTTAATCTGTAAGAAAAATATGTTACTTTTACATTAATAGTTAGCACATATTATAAAAGTTATTTATATATATTTATTAATATATTTTTATTTTAAAATAATATATATATATATACTACCTATATATATATATATATATTTGTTATCTTTTATAAATATTAAACGTCAAACATTTTATTTATATATTATTATTATTCATTTTATATAAAAAAATATAAAAAACCCATTGTTATAAAACCAGAATTTAAAAATGATAACACGGAATTGAACCGGTGCCCTTCGACGTCATTATTCTATCATTCATGTTCATCCGAGCTACCGATCGCATTTTTTATGAGGTCGAAAATGCGGGTTAGTTTATAACTTTTATTATTGTCTATTATTAATTATTGACGCCATCTTTTAATTGGTTTGCTTGACTTGACTTAGATGGCGCTATATTAAGTCCTCGGAAATGAGAAAATTAACATACTTAATGTGTATTTGAATATAAATATATTATTGTTTCTTAATTATTATTTTAACCATTAAAAACCTTATTGTGTGCCTCTGCAGTGTTAAGTATTCAAGCTTTGCAGGGTTATTTTCATTTTAAACCAGCGCCATCTAGTTATCAATGGTAGCGTTATGCAAAACCTGTCAGTCAATAGTCGACCTTAAGCTCTCCATGCATTTTTGTCACCCTTAGTACCTACGGTACAAAAGAAAAACAAATTTAGAACAATTATAAAAATGTTACAAAATGCAACTTTTTCAATGGTTAGATAAAAGTCATCTGGGAAATAATTATGATGCTGTCGCGTCAGAATGTTTGTATAAGACAGTGACAGCATCAATTTTATTCCTCAGATAACATTTATCTGACTATTGAAAAATCAGCTCTTAAATATAGATACATGATTATATCCATAAATATAAGTAAATTCAGCAGTATAGTTAATTAACAAATATATACCTACCACATACATACGCACCATGACGATGATTGGCATTCATCAGCTACCAGTCGTTCACTGCTGAAATGAACTAGATCTTAAAAACAGTATTGTGTTTTGCCGAGTCAGTGCGGTCATAGGAAGCCCAATCATAACCCATCCTTTGGTTTTAAGGATGTCCATGGCCCGTACCGATTGGTTGCCATCAGGTTATACCTACATGTACATCGCATCGGCTAGTTTAGGTACCTACCGCATAAAAAACAATAGACAAATCGTTCTTATTTTAAAGCTTCGAAAAAGATTATCTGTATAAAAGTGCCAGCAGCAGTATTATAAGAAAAATACCTTTTTTGACGTTTAATTCATGAAACCCCAAGCGAACGCTGGCGTTTGCGTACCCATTATGTCTCGGATTTCCACGATTTAAAGGTTAAAAAACGCTTTCATACTGCGTCTGATCCGAATCCGATCCGAAACCTCTAAAAATATAAGTTTAAAAAAACTCGAACTGAATTCGGATATTCCTTGTAAGAAATTGGATGATGGATGTAGTTCGTCAACTACCATAGAAATAGTTTGTGCGATTATGGCGTATATTTCCACGGGTCCGGATCGTACGTAGTGCGGAAGCTCCCTAAAAGTATTGAGTGTGATGGGACGACAACGTGTTCTATGCCCAATCCCTAAGAACCGCGGGTCTGATTCCAGGCTAGACAAAGTATCTAAGTATTTTAATTTGCTTGCCCGTTTTTGCTTCAAACTGCACTGGGACATACTCTTGTGTCGTGAGTGCATTTACAAACATACAATTTTACTTACGCACATACTCAGACCCGGAACAACAATTTGTTGATCATACAAAAAATATTGTTTCGCATGAAAATCGAAACCGCGACACGTTGAGCGGCATCTTGTTGCCCAGCCACCGCGCCAACTGTCCAGTCATTTAATTTTAATAAGCGCACCCTTGGCTAAATTGTATGCTAATTATTCTTATGAAAGTACGTTTAAAAAATACATGCCAAAAATTCGCTTTCCACAACCTGAAAATTAAATATATCTATATATACCTATAGAATCCGCATAACAATTCACTAACTATCACAACAAAGTTTCGCTAAATTTCTGTCAAAGCTTGGGAAATACAAAATACGGACCGGAGCTAAAAGTTGATAAAACTCCACTTTATTACTGGAACCGGTAGCCTTTGTGTACAAAGGCATAATTTTATACACAACCAAGTGTCTAGGGAATGTTTTCTCAATTACCTACCTACCTTGTGTTTTCTTTACCGGAAAATCAGATCCAAGTCATTGATTTCAAATAGACTCACTTTTGAACGTCAAAAAAATCAAAATCAAAAGTTTGACTTCATGTGTCGGCCTGTCGGTCTGTCCTCTAGTGAAGCTATTTGATCGTTTCAAAAAATAGATTTCAATGTAGAAGAACGAGCAAGAATCTCCATGGTTACTCTTTGTCAATCAGTTGCACAATTCGTTTTGGTTACATAATTTAGTCGGTTCTTAAAATTTTTTATGAGCAGCAGGATCATCTGAATGTCAAAAATGGCGACTAACGAAGAAATCATCCCATTAATTTATAATTGAAAATTGTAATTGGGACTACGTACCTAAGTATGCATCAACGAAGTCCTGTTCAAGTGTCCTTAGATCAATATACCTAATCTAGGTGGATACACGTTGCGGACGAATTTGATTCTTGCATCCTCATGGTGACGTGAGAGACAGGACACCAAGGTTGGTTTTTCTATACTAATATTATAAAGAGGTAAAATTTGTAAGTTTGTAAGTTTTTTAAGTTGTGAATGTAGGGGGTAATCTTTGGAACCGCTGGTCAGATTTCCATAATTTTTTCACTAATAGATAGCTACAATGTTCCTGATTGCTATAGGCTATAAAACATCACGCTACTTAGGAAGATAAGTGATTTTTCACATCAATTTAACAAAAAATTACGAAAAGCAAAATTAACTATTCGGCCGATTGTTGCAATAAAATCATAATAAAATCAAATCACACAATTGATTACAACAAGCAAACTATTTAAAATTTTGATTATAATAAGTTACTTTATGATTAAGAACCCAAGACGGTAACGATTTGTTAAATACACGTAAAGGTTTTTTGGAGAGACACCCAGATCCACCTGATACACACGCGACACGTTTCAATTCACTTTTATCTATGCTGTTTTCTAACTGACACAAACAGTTTTTATTTAGAACAACTGGGGTGCAGTCGACGCGTTGAACTGTGCACTGCATGGCGCATCGTTAGGCGAGGCAAACATGAAACGACGGAAGAAATATTGTGATGTCCTATGACAGAAAAGGCTTTGTACAAAAAATAAGTATTTTATTTGGACTTGGATTCAAACTGCAGTATCAATCTTTCCTAATATAATTATAATAAGTATGGATGCATGGATGCCTTTTCATGTCAGAACTACTAAATAATACTACTAAGCAATAACAATAAAATTTGTCACTGGGATTTCTGTGTGAGGCACAACTTAAGGCTAATTTTTGCAGTTGATGACGTTGGAAGCTGTACTTATCTATATATTCTTTCTTTACTTTTTTTAAAACACTTTGCCGTACTAGGATTTTTCGAACAGAACCGGACCCGAGGACTCGTCGCATTTCGCACGCTCCACTAAGTGCCATCAGACCACCATAAATGGGCCCCAATAGGGGTTGATGTCCAGCCACGGTTGCCCGTGCTAGTGCAATAGCCCGGACGAAGAGTACGAATGGAGTAGTTTTTTAAGCAATAAGATTTTGACACATAAAGTAATTTGCCGAATTTATCCGCTCAAAAAAAGCTATATATCACTAGGTATCGAAATATACTTATATACCACTCTACTCCTATGAACAATAATCAGTACATACTATCTAATATGAACTTCACTATCATAGTACAGACGGTTGAGATATATGTATGTAGTGTTAGGAGTTTTTTATTCGGCGTTTATGAGAATTCCAAGAAAATCCCAAGAATGTAAAAAGTTATTTTTTGAAATCCTTGATAGACTTATTACATTATAAAAACCACTCATAGAAAGATATTCTATTCGCTACAAAATTCGGCATTTCTATTTAAAACATTTCACTCGTAAAACACTAAAAAAGATGTTTAATTTTTATTCGACGTTTATGAGAATTCCAAGAAAATCCCAAGAATGTAAAAAGTTATTTTTTGAAATCCTTGATAGACTTATTACATTATAAAAACCACTCATAGAAAGATATTCTATTCGCTACAAAATTCGGCATTTCTATTTAAAACATTTCACTCGTAAAACACTAAAAAAGATGTTTAAATTTCCACAAAGCACAATTATATTCTCAGAAAATTCGTTCTGACATAAAAATAAGAAGAAAAACAAGCAAACAAAGGCCCGATCGTCAGGTGTTGTGATAAAACAAAAGCTTTGAAACTAGACTATCATGCAGACGCATTGTTCAACGGACGGTAGGCACAATAAAACACTTATTTGGCGTGAAATAAAAGGGTAGTAAGACATGGCCGTAAATTTTCGCATGACGGCCTTCCTCATAAGGTTGCTTACGATAAAATGTTACATGGACTTAGGGATGTCACTAGGGGATCTTTTGGGTCCCATTTGTATTTTTGGCGTTAAGTAAATGATTTATTGACGATCTTTTGTTGAATGAATCATTTAATATCATGTTGGAAATAAAATCTAAAATATATTTAATGAAACAGATTAAAATAGTATAATTATGTTATTTTAAATTAATAAAAGAAGACAGCAGATATTTGTCTATAAGTAACCACTGCTGAAAAACGACAAATTCTAACACAGAGAAGCAGTATTATGTTATATCGCACGCTTAATCAAAAAAAGAAATATATCAAAATTGATATTTTTTGGATATGCCAGTTTAAAGTTTAGAACTATTCTGGGTTGAACTTTGTTTACGTATTAAAATTAATTTAGACGTGTTATAAGGAAATAAACTGATTTAAAGGAAAGCTGGGTTTATTGGTTTTTGTTTAGTGCTATATAAAAGTATATTTTATTTACTATTGACTAGTAGATGATGCATTAAAAAAAAAGTTCCTAGTTATTTCACTTTATGATTAAAATCTACGTGCATATTTTAAATGTTATTAGTCATAAAACATAATATATCTCTTTATTAATAAAATTTTGTTTAGCTATTCAACTTAAGTAAGCTTTATTTCAATTTTTTATTAATAAATGTAATAATTTTCTTACAAGAATTCGAAATATTTCTTTGTCTTACAACATGACGGAAAAATATCAATAAATATTATAGTAATGAAACGCATAATTAGAAATATTCTTTTATTTTAAAGTACGAAAGTAATATAACACAAGACATTAATGACTTGGCTAACTGAATTAAGGCAGGGAGGTACCTAATCACAAACCCAGGCTGGGGCAAAAAGTGAAAAAAAATATGTTTAAAAAATAATCAATAAACGTGGAATCACAATGTTAAACAATCATAATGTTATACTTGACTAATATTAGTTATACTTAATAACAAAACTAAAACTCTTCTTAATTATAAAAACAAAAAAAAAAACGATGTTTCTAAAAATATTATAGACAAACAAAATCACTAAAATTTTAATGAATTATTATGAGATCAATGAAGTAACTCTAGTTAATGATCGAATTATAAAAATTTGCGTAAAAAGGAGGAATAAGTCCTTTATTGACGAGATCTCTTAAATCCTTCTTTTTATTAAGACTTATATCTTGCCTTTCCGTGTAAGCCTTTTTTAGTGTAATTTCTGTTATGAGCTTCATCTTCTTCCTTTTATTTCTTACATCTATTTCTTGGAAACAATCATCTTTGTAGGAAGTTTTGTAAAAAATACTGAATGGTTTCTCTTTTTTCATCATCAATACTTTTATATTATTCCAATTAACTGTTTGTCCGTCCATATTTGTATTATAATTGTAACCCCATTCTTCCTGCAATATTTTAGTATCAACGAAGGAATCAAAGGTTAATTCGTGTACATTTATAGCTGGTTTACTTTTTTTAGCATTTTTAATTAAAGCTATGTACTGATCAGGGCTGTAAATGGGCCCTGATTTAAGATTTTTCTTTATCTCTTTTTCTATTAAGCTGTGCACGCTATCCGCTTCATTTTGAGTGTGCCCTGTGATTAAAAACTTGTGTTTTATACTTCTTATATTCAACGTGTTCACAGCAAATAAATACAATGTTGCGATATATTTATTTTTATTCTGTCCGCAACAGTTATCAGAATAAAATGTAACGTTTTTCTCTTCTATATTTGATTCACATATCCCTTCAAGATACTGCCATACACAAGTTCCTATTTCTATTGCCCCACGTTTAGCTTCTGATTCTGTCCAAAAATAACAATGTACTTTATCATATGCCGTTTTTGACTCCGTTTGTGTCAATTCCGTTAATGTTAAATTGTAACTGTTAAGTTTGGATTTATAATAAAATGCCGAGGTATCACCTCTTGGACATTGGAGCACTGCTTCTAAATCATAAATTGCGACTATATTATCTTTGGTAACTTTTTTACGATCTTCTTGTTTTTCTATTCTACTCAATGACTTTTCTTCTATGTGTTTATTATATTTATCTTCCAGCTCTCTCTTTTTTTCATCAGTACTGTTTTTAAATGATTCACATAAATCACACTGGTCTTTTTTTGGCTGGAAAAAACTTAAATTAAATTCTAGAGTGAATATTTTATAGTATGCTATGTAATTTCCTGTCTCTTTGTTATTTTCTTCTTGTTGTTTAACAAAATCTGAATACAAATCCTTTATAGTTTTACCACCGTCAATGTATTCTCTGGTAGAAGTAGCTCTCACATAGTGTGACTCTATTTTCGGAATGGATTGAATATGCTTCCGTATGTCGTCAATCAATTCAGGAGGGAGAGTTTTGTGGCTATGGTGTTTCCCTCTCAAATCTTCAAGCATAAAGCCACCGTCACTTACTTTATGCTGTATGGTGAATATCATTCTGTCCGTAACATCCAAAGTAGATTTAAAAAATGTCTTACATACCCTTATTTTTTTATTATTAACAGTAAAATTATAGGCTTTATTTGGGCGTCTGGGATTTGTAGCATTTGTGTACCTATATTTTGGAGTTATGTCTACCATACAACTGCTTATAAAAACTCTTTGTCTTGTCAGGTCTCCTAAATCCCAAAATTCTTTGAATATATTATACCTTTCATCCATTGATATATTAGTTGTGCATTTTAATCTACATTTATCTGTGCAAGGCACTTTAAGACAGCGGCTGGGAATAACTTTCTGAGATTTCGATATGGATATATACGATTCACCAGTGTTCCGTAGCTTTTTAACTTTATTTTGTTTCCACTTTGCAGGATTTAGAGATCGCTTGCGCCCTCTTTTACTAAGCTTCTTTCTATCAGAATCTGAAACACTATCGTCGTCACTGTCAGATGAGTCTGTTTTGGTGGCATCAAAAAAATAGTTTTTCTTTTTGCGTTTGGTAGACAGTTCATAATTAAATGTAGGGTCGTCATCACTTAAGTCTATATTATCACTTTCATCAGTATAATTTGGTGAAATATTGGCAGGTAGAGTGGAAGTTGAAGCGCTCTGTGGTCTTACACCATTGGCGTATTGTTCAGAATGTTGATTAGTTCGTTTAGAAGACGTAGAACTGTCTGAATCCGAAGATGAACTACCAGAGGAGGTAGAGTTCGATGAAGACGAGCTTGATGTAGACGAGCTTGAAGAAGAAGATTTCGGCAGTGCTTTTTGAATGCTTTGATCAATTTCAGTACAAGTTTCAATGTTTTCTAAGTTATTATTATCATTTATGGATGAATCATCACTGTCATAATCTGGTACGAGGTTTGTTTGCAATGTTCTTATTATTGATGTGTGTGTAGTAAGACTACTATTATCTGTTTTACGGGAACTTATAAATCGAGCATCAATTTTGTTGGCAAATTGATCATCTCTATCACAATCTGATAAGATCTCATCACAGCTACTTACATCAATATTTTTATTTGGGGAAACATTTTCTGCGTTTTCTTTAGCTGTACTGTGTTGATCTTCTACAATAGTATTGTCGATTTTAACCACCAGATTGTCTTGAGTATGAGATGTTGCATCAGGTGATACCAATTTAAGTATACGACTTGCTCTCCAAGACGCCATGCTACAAAAAAATTACAATTTATAATGTTTTTAATATTAAATTAACAGTAATTAAAAAAAGGCGCGTCTGCGACTCGGATAATAACGGATCAAGTCACAGTTTTAAACGTCAATAATAATGTAAAACTAAATATAATTTATATAAGTCGCCCCGTGACCACGGCTGATGCAACTCAGCTGAAACGTCGGAAAAATAAAATAGCAAGGTATGACGCGATTAATACCCGTTTTAAAACAGATTAATAATTAAATTAATTCCCTCACTACGGCAAAAATGGCTTTAGAACGGAAGTAATAGTATATATTCTTTGCTTTAGGTTAGTATCTGACAAAAAAGGAATGTCACAAAAAAAAATCAAATATAAATTAAGTATTAGCAGCAAAACTTAGATTTTCGCGCATATTTTTATGTAGCATTAATTACCTACACAAAAACTTTCTTTTTGTGACATTCCTTGTTTTGTCCCTGTACCCTTCAAATTATCTTATATAAGGATTAGGGTAGGATACAATAATAATAAGACTGGCCTAATTGGATGTTAATTCATTAAATGGCTATTCAGACGATGCATAGAATAAGTAACAATTAAAATATTCTATTCAAATGGAAAGGGAAATAATTTTAAATGTCCCAAATAACTTTTGACGACAATTAATCATATAACAGCAACAAGCATGTTTCATTATTAAATTTGAACGATAATTTAAAACTAAAACGAAATAAGTCATTTTGTGCCAACATTATATTTATTCTTTTAAAATGAAAACGAAATAACTCGTATAAATTTGGACGACGCGTTAATAAAATTTAAACTAAACTGCAATAAGTCAAAATGATATCACAAAGTAGTGACATACTTTTTGTAATAAAGTGAAATAAGACTTAGTTATTCACTTTATGAATAAATTAAAACAAGAAATAAGACTTACCTGTTAATAATATAAAGATTTATGCCGTAATGTTTCGCCCTTTAAATAATTTTGCGATCACCTTACTTGCATCACTGTTGGCACATGACTGAATATAGCCGTTTACTGGTACCAATCTGTTCGGGCGCGTTAGTCAGAAAGAGAGCGACAGTCCTTTATTTCGTTCATATTCATTCAAATCGAGCGGCGGTTGGAGCGTAAATATTCTTAGCGATATGTTATTACGTTTTATGATTGAATCTTTAAATAACTTATTTTTGAGTTATTTCTCTTTATGATTAAGCGTGCGATATGTTGCTCAAAGCTAATCGGTGTTTTCCATGTTTTCTTTTACCGAATGTTTATTATGTATATATGTATTTATTATACATCAGCATATTGTGTAGTAGCCAATTGTATCCGTTGATGTTTCATTATTCATTCATTACTATTGAAATTGTAATGAATATTGCATTATGAAAGTATTGTTAATTTACTTAATATTAATAGCTCTCTCAAGAGGGCTATTTTCAGCACAAATGGGTAGACTCCACCAGAGTGATACCATAATCTCACAGAAAACCCTCGTGAAACTACCACAGCGTTGTGTTTTGCCGTGTGACTGAGGTTACTTTAGGCCCAATTTTTCCCCATCCCCAATCCCTAAATCTCCAAAAACTTGGCAACGTACTCGAAACTCCTTTGTTGTAGTGAGAGTCCATGGGTGGCGCCAATCACTTACGATCAGGTTACCCTTTGACACGTTTGCCGACCATTGCCATATAAAAATGGAACCTTCAAACGATGTAAAGACGTTTATCTCTATTACGCAAACTGAACTGATTTGAAAACAACACATACAATTTGTGAAGGTAACGTAAACAATTCTGAGGAAACTAGTATATTATTTAACAGTATCTAACGTACCAGCCCTGGGGCTGGGTGCTATTAAACAAAATTGACGACGTTGCAATCAGACGCGGAACAACATCACTCATAGTGTTAACGGGATTAGTTGGAACTAACGCGCGTCCTTCATGCTCGTAGAATGTTCCAGAATCATCAACTATCACTCGTCCCAAGTTTATTAGGGAATTAGCTTTGGTATTGGAGTTTCAACTTCATTGAAACGTTTTCAAATTGATTATCGTGTGTTTTAATATGATCGTATAAATTAAAAATATGGGGAATAGGTCGGCTTTACGACGCCATGAAGCAACAATCTCAACCATCCCCAATCCCCAAATACCCGATCCCCAAAATCCCGAACCCCCAAAAGTCGATAATTCACTCGTAACTACACTGAGCCAGTCTATGTGGGGCAGTGCCATGCTATGTCTGGCAGAGCCATGCTTACTGTGGGTAATCAATGCTTCGGCACGAATGGGTCGACCGGAGTACTGCTACGACCTCACAAAAAATGGCGTGAGATAAACGTTGACTTTCGCCGTATGATTTAAGTTTATCGAGGGCCAATCTTTTTTCCAATCCCCCAATCCTTAAATCTCCGAAACCTTAAACCTCATAAGGTCGGCAATACTGACTGCATCACTCATCTGGTGTTGAAAATGTCCACGGAATGCACACTTGTCGCTCTATCACTTGAAAATTCGTCGTGCGTTTAACGTCTGACGGTGAGGCAGGCGTACTCATTTACTTGTATAACTAACTCGTCACCAGTAAGATCTATGTAATAAGGATTGAGCCTATCACCATACACTGGACAGAATTGCAAACTCAAGGTCATATCTAAGATCGAGAGATGATCTCTGACCACCGTAAGTGCGGGTCTGTACATATTGAGTAACGGTAGCTCGCCGCCCGATCGTGTTCTGCGCGCGCCTCAAATAGCCAATGAACCACCACAGACGGGGCTCCATAGGGCTGATGTTCAGACGTGTTTGCGGGAGGCGCAATAAGTCACCGCGGCCTCTTCCTAAAGCAGGAGAAGCAACGGCGGGTTTTTAGTCAGTACGAGTCTGACACTCCGTCGCGCCCCACCCTGTGCGGGAGATGTCCTTCGATGATTTTTCCCTCACAAAAAAAAATATCTAAGAATTTTCGCCCCCACTAATCGAATTCGAGTCCGTTTGTTCGACACCACTTATGACCGACCGACTGATACTACTGCTCTGCTTATCCCCTCGAACAATAAAAAGCTTGTTTTAATAATGAAAACAACATGAAATCGTCTGCAAAAGTTGGACATCAAAAGGCGATTACTTGAAAAAAACTGCTAGAATTTGTCGGTTAAAGGTAAAGAGATCTGCGTTAGCCAGCCTGGGATTCTAGGCACGTTTTCAGATAAACTCGGAATACGGTGACGTCAGCAAATGGTAGCCACTTTACGTGACGTTGTGGTTGCGACCTTTTTTGAGAACGAAACTTGTGGTTGTATTGTGCACGTTCGTAGATTGGAGTATTTATTTCTTATAGCTATTTTTGTATTGAATATATTATAACTTTTGTAACACATGTTCTTTTTATTGTTGTTTATAAAATTTTCCCAAATCAAGATTTGCTCCTATGTGCGGTGGAAAGCACGACTAGTTTTAAGCCACAACACTTAACACGTCGCGCAGTCAACTCATTTGCTCATAAATTTGAGCCCTAGCGTAACTTGAAACTAGTCGAGTCTGTCGTCTAGCAGTTACAGAATTAAGCCGTTAAATAGTTCATTTATGTATTCATAGACAATGGTTTTTTTTTTGGAAAATACTGCCATGTTGATCGATCGCTGATTATGAGGTCTCCGGACTTTCAGGTTGACTAAAATATATCTATTCTATTTTTAGCATGTGACTTAATGAGGAGTATACATTTTTATAAGGGGTAAAATGGACTTCTTTGGTCCAGGGTGAGGTGAGAAGGAGTGTCACTTACTGACGAAAAACCTACTCCTACTCCAAGCCGAGGCCTCGTTACAATGAAAAGTAGAGTTAACTATTCAAAACTAAATAAATATATAAATATTGATTATACACATCTACATGCAAGCCATAGTGGCGTTTCTGGACAATGAATAAAAGAAACAAAATCTAAAGAAAAACATAGCAATATTGTAAGTACTTACGCTAAATAACCAACCAAAAGCACTAAGAAAAAGACAAACAGCGTACAAGAGCAAAAAATATCTGAAAATAATAGACATCGGTGTTACAACATTGGGCATATGTTGGGAAGCACCCCATATTACGCTGGTAAGGTCTCTTTAGACCTCACTCGAATGAAGTACTTTTTTGTAAGATACCTTTGAGCGTCTAAATGTGGCAATTATGTACCAGTGTACGAAATTTGGACAAAATTTCCTCTTGTTTTCGTTTCTTATTAAGATCTTCTGGTTATAATTTCTTTTTATTTTCATGGGACTGCAAACGATTGGATGGATTACCCGATCACAAGCAATTAGCGTCACTCATAGACACCCGCAACAACGGAGGTGTTACGGTGCGCCGACCTTTTGGGTATTAGGGATTTGGAGATTTTTGGATTGGGGCAGGGAAGGATTGGGCCTCTGGTAATCTCACTCACATAATACTGTGGTTGTTTCACGCCGATTTTATGTGAGGCCGTGGTATCACTCTGGTCGAGGCGAGCCATTTGTGACGAAGTATGGCACAACCAAAAAAAAAAAAACAAAATTAAAACCTTGATTTTGGTTTCTTAAGTGTTATTCTCAATATTATGTACGGGACATTTGTGTTATCACAACTTTCCTTGCTGTGGATATCGTCAGAACTGGAGAGATTAAGTAGACATTTGACAGCGTTCGGTCAGCAGCGCTCTCTGATAGACCTAGAACCGAAACAGCTATCTCCATCTAGAGGACATTAAGAGAAACACTCTTATAGTTAATTGGTTTCTTAACGAAGGTTGCTTAAAAAACTAAGAAATCAATTTTCAGTTAATTTCTGATATCGTAGTCTCATATTTAATTTTATGTATTTCAAATAATGATATTAGTGATTTATTTTATAAGTTTACGACGTAATGATGTCATTTTACGTCTACCAACAAGATTGGCCTTAGAATTGGTTAGATGACATGGTTACCGTGTTTTTCAACCTTCTTCGTTTGTCAGTGGTGTTTAT